CTCCCCCGCCCCCTCCCCTCAACCCCGCGCCGCCCCCCGACCCCGGCGTCCCCGCCTCCGCTCCCTCCCCGAGCCCCCCGCGCCTCTACCCCTTCTTCCCGCCGCTCGGCCCCACACCCTCGCCTTGCCTCGCCTCGCCTCGCCCGGCCGGTGCCCTCCGCTTTCAGATGCCGGGCTCTCCTGGCGTCCCCATCCCCAGCCCCGGGTCTCCGTCCTGTCCCGGCACCCCCTGTCCCCAGCCCCCAGTCTCGCGCTCCCTCGGCCCAGGCCCCTGCTTGTCGTCCCCGCTCTCTGCCCCCTCCTCGGGGCCGTCCCCTTTCCCCCTCTGGACGCCAGCTTCCCTTCACGGCCACGGAGCCTTAGGTGGAGACCAGGAGGGAGCACAGAGCCCCGGGTGTGTCACAGGTCCCGGCGCGGGGCCCGCGTTCGAGCCTGTGTGCGGCTCTGTCCGTCGAGCCCCGCGTGCAGTGATTAACCCCGTCGAGGCCCCGCTCCGCCTCCCAGGGCCCGCTCGACTCTCAGCGCCCCTTAGATGCTGGGGAAGGAGCGCCAGCCCCCGCCTCGGGTCGCTTCACCAGGTCTGCAGTGAGATGCTCTGCTCAGTGTCGGGATGGGGCTCGGACGGGGGACCCCAGAAAAGCGCACGGGTCGGAAGGGCGCGGAGGCCGCTGCGCCTTTCTCCACGCGCAGGTTGGCGGGCGCGCGGGGGGCGGGGGAGCTGGGGAAGGAGGAGCCCGCAGGCCTGGATTTGGTTAAGATTTAGAGCCGACAGCAGCCGTCTGAGAAGTTCCAGACGCGGCCCGGCAGCGGCTGCAAACGCCCACCCCTTCTGAGCCTGGAGGCTCGGGGATCACCTCATCCGATCCCCTAAGCAGCGAAAGCAGTTGAGGCCAGGAGGAGGGGGCTTGCTCCAACAGAACAGCTGACTTTGTCCTTACTTGAGCCAGGATTTCAACCTCCCGAGCACCCTCTGCGGGGGCCCTCAGTACCGCCCACCTAAGGTGTCTCTACCTACAGGGAAACCCGGTACAGACACGTCAAAAATTCACTGGTCGCCAGGCGTAGGGCGACCGGGCCCAAGAAACCAGGCCTCGCCCCCGCTCCACCTCTTTCACTTTCATTGTTATCTTCCCCGCGGGAAGCGGGAAGCAGGAGGAAATCAGCTCCGCCCCCGGCCACGACCGGCGCGGCAGCCAGGCCGAGGTCAGGTCCCGGGCAGCCCCTCGGACCCCACCCCGAAATGGGAACCAGGATCCCTCGAAATGAGTCTGGGTCTGGGTCGACGGTGTCCAGTCCCCCACCCGGAGGATAACCCAGCAGATCCCACCGCTTCAGGAAGACCTCCCCCACAAAAAAAGAAAAGCGGAAAGGAAAAAAAATCCACTTTACTGAGTCACACCCAGCTGTAAACATGTCACCGTGAAAGCCCCCACCCCCACCCCCCAGGCCACACAGTCGGAGGTGAAATGACGATTTGGGAGGAGGGTCACCGAGTAGGTGCTAAGCAGGGCAGCGGGCAGGCAGATGCAGCAGGCTCCGTGTTTCCGGGAAGAAGCCCTGGGGGCGGGGGTGGGGGGGTGGTGTCAGGGCAGGAGAGGGGCCCAAGCTCCCAGGAGCCTCAGAGTGAGGGTCCTAAAGGACCCAAAGGCTTAGGAAGCGTCTTCCTGGGGGCTACCTCAAGAGGCCTCAAGGCCCTCTGCCCTCCGGGCTGCGGGCCCTCAACTCCAGGGCACCCACTGCAGGGAAGGTGAGGTCCCCCCCAAGCCCCCACAATGGTCTGCCCAGCCCAGTCCAGTCTCCTGGTCCCCTGTGAGCCTCTGGGTTAGGCTATGGCCTCAGGGGGCTGGGTGAGACCCCACCCCACCCCACCCCCTGGCCCCCAGCTCCTCAGAGTCCAGCCCTAGGTCTGGGCAGCTCCTCAGGGAGCAGCACAGGGCTCCTTCCCTGGGGCCTGGGTCCCGGGTCCCTCTGTGGCCATCCGCCTGGAATGTGGCAGTGAGGTGGGCGAGGAGGGGCTGGTCCTCTGGCGGCCCCGTCGCCCTGCTGCGCGGCGGCCTCACACAGCCGTCTCCTGGTCCTCCCGCTGGATCATCTGGTAGTGCTGCCGGTTCTCCAGGTACGCGGCCAGTTCCGTGTCTTGAGCCCTCTCAGCCCGCTGCCGGGGAGTGTCGCCCTGGATGGGGGCGGGGGGGCTGCCATCACCTCAGGGACCTGTCGGCCCCAGCAGGCTTAGAAGACGGGGGCTCTTCCCTCGGGAGCAGCCAACTCTTGCTGGCTCAGGTTCTCAGGGTCTGGACTGTGCTGGTTGAAGGACAGCTTTGAATCCCCAGAGGCGGCCCTCCCCCAGACTCCCCTCTCCCCGGGCTGGAGTTTGGGAAAGGGTTGCTTGTGTTTGCATGGATTCCAGTCTGCTCACCTGATGGTCTGTCTTCATGAGAGAGGCCCCGGCCTCCACGATGTAGTGGCAGATGGTGCGCTGGCCCAGGGCTGCGGCCTGGTGCAGACAGGTTTCCCCGCTGGGGGAACAGGGCTGGCTGTGGACCCCATCCAGTCCTCTGAGCCCTCCTGTCTCCCAAAGGCCATCAGAAAGGGCAGGAAGTTCAGGGTCCTGGGGCAAGGGAGCAGGGGGGGTGGGGGTTGGCCCAGAGGATGACAGATGCGGCCAGGAAGGGTTTATGGGCTCTGACAAGACCAAATGGGAGGGTCTAAAGACGGGGCAGTTTCCAGGGTAACTGGGGTCCTGCACTGCCCACATACTCACTTTTCCTCCACAGCATCAAGGATCTCTGTGGGGGCTGGAGAAGGGGGAGGGGGAAGTCAGAGAGGCCTGGCAGCCTCTCCCTCCTCCCTCGGGCCCCAGTGGCACAGCTCACCGTGGTCCAGCAGGTAGCGGACCACTTCCTTGCTGCCGGTGCTGACGGCGTGGTGCAGGAGCGTGCGGCTCCGCTCGTCTCGGTGCATGAGGTCACCCCCGGCTCGGTGCAGCTCCTGGAGCTGGGGGCAGGAGGCAGAGCAGGGCTGGGGCTCCTCAGGGCCACCCTCCTTCCAGCCACAGAAACGCCCCCCAACTCACACAGGCCCCAGGCTCCCTAGGGGCCTCTGGGGGTCTTTCTGGAGTGCAAGGGAGACACGATGGGCTTCTCTCATCCCAGGTGCCCCGGGACACCCCGGGAGCACTGACGACCGAGCCTTGGAGCCTGCGCTTCCTCTAAGGCTCGATCCTTTCTGAGCACCAGGGACAGGCAGCATGAGCTAGGAAGCCCCTATGCAGGGACACCGATTGTGGGCTGGACAGGGATGGGGGGCACGGCTGACTGGGACCACCACACGGAGGCCCCACAGAGGCCCAGGTGACAACAGATGACCGCACAACAGGTCAGCTCTTGGCCCAGCCCAGAGGCCCCACTCCCCAGGGCCTGAGGGGGCTGCCAAGGGGAAGAAGCCTGAGCCTGGCACTAGTACCTTACAGAAATCGTTCCTCTTGGCAGCCTCGATCAGCTCTTCACCTGCACAGAACACCTGCCTGTTACTCTCTGGCGCTGGACGCCTAGGCACGTGTCGGTGTGTGAACATACGTCTGAGGTACTATTGTGCAGAGAAGGGGGCCTGTTGGGGCACGTGTGCCAAGGGCTGTGGGCTCACGGTGACCGTGACGTAGCTGTGTTCTTGTGAGGCTGCGTATGGGCTCCACCCCACCTGACCCCACCACCCCACCGAGCCTCGGTCCTAGGACCAGGGAGGAAGCAGGGGCCCTGCAGGGAGAGGCCTCACCTGTAGGGGGTGCAGCATCCCCTGGCAGTGACCTGCAAACAGAGCAGGATGAGATGTGGCAGGGCTACGGGTGACATGGCTACAACACAGGCCCAGCTTGTCGCCCTCCCCAGCCCCAACCCGGGGCGCCCTCTGTCCTTTCAACAGTTTATTGAGTGCCTCCTATGTGTCAAGTGCTGTTCTGGGCACTGGCAACACAGCAGCGAACACGGGTGGAGAACTTGCTCTCAGGGAGCTTACATTCTAGTCAGAGAGACAAACAAGTCAACAGATAAATAAGGTATTTTGAAAGAGCAGGAAGTGCTACAAAGAACAGGAGTCACGGTAGTGTGATTGAACAGCAGCTTCAGGTGGGGCCCCTGGGAGACTCCTCTGAGGCGGAAACACCCAAGCTGAGAGATGAATGGAGAGGCAGCTCTGTGAAGATCGGGGAGGCAAGGAGAAGTCCAGAGGTGGGCAAACTTGTGCCTTAAAGAACCGAGAGGCGAGTGGGGCTGGACTGTGGTGATGGAGCAGGGAGGGAGCTGGTGGGGTCAGAGACCACCAGGCTCAGGCTGTGTGAGATGAAGTGACCAGGTACAGGGGGAGGGCACAGTGACCGCAGGGTGGGTGCTGGGGAAAAAGGTTCCAGGCTGCGGGGAGAGGGCAGGAGGCCAGGGGCTCCGCGGTGCGCTCAGATGCGGGCAGGGAGGGAGCCCAGGTCTTTGGCCCGCACAGCAGAGCGCATGGTGGGGTGGAGGGCTGGCAGGCTGGGTTCAGTTTGCTGCCTGTGGGTCAGTGGGGCGGGGCCGGTGGGGACCGCAGGCAGCTGGACGTGCGTCTGGTGCTCTGGGAAGCGCTCAGGGAAGCGGCTGGGGCGGAAGACAGGGCTTGAGGAGCTGCTGGCTTACGGGTGGGATTTAGAGCCAGGGCACTGGCTGAGGCCTGGGACTCACCGGGGCCTGGGTGAGCAGGGCGAGGGGGGGAGAGGGGAAGAGGGGGTTGGGAGGTCGGGTCGGGCAGACGCCCCCAGCAGCTCAGGGTCCAGGATATAAATCTCATCCTGTGCGATCTCGGTCACGTAGTTGAGGTGTTCCTGCGGGTGGGGAGGTAAGGGCCGAGGGTCAGGGCCCTGCAGGGTGGCCGGCGTGGTGGTGAAGGGGCTGCCAGGCCAGGAGAACCAGAGAAGCCTCTGCTGTGAGCAGAAACGCTGACAGGAGGCAGGCGGGCCAATGGCCCTGCCAGTCCCCTGTCCCCTCCCCCATTCTCCTCTCCTGCCACCCAAGCCCACACCCTGACCTCCACACAGCGGGCCCCCCAGCTGGCCAGCCCCTTCCCACTGCTAAGCGTTTACCCAGGTGACCAGGCCTCTGGCCAGAAGTGCCTTTCCTTCTGTGTCTGGATGGATGACAGCTGTGCCGTGAGGGCCGCCCCCACCCCACCCCCACCTGGCAAGCCCTGCCGGGGCACATGGGCTCCCTTCTCCCGTCAGCACCATCCCTGTGTGTGGCCCAACCGCGGACACTCTGGGACGCAAGGACGGCTGTGCCTGGCTGTGGAGGGTGGCCTAGCAGGACAGGGGACACGGACCCCGGAGCCAGCGGCGGACGGAGCAGGACAGCGAGTGCTCACCTGGGCCCTGTCGATTCTGTAGAAGCGGCTAGCAGTGGTGGCTGTGGGGAGAGAGGTGGCTGAGGAAGGGGGCCCTCGTCCACGCCTAGGTCTTCTGCCGCCCCACCTAGGACCCCCAAGGGAGCGGGCGGGACACGGCCCGGGACCACCCTGAGCTGGCCCTTCAGGGCCACTCACCATCCAGGAAGCACCACTTGGGGGAGAGTTTCTGGCACGTCGGAGACTTGGCTCCAGCACCTTCGGGCTCCTGTTGAGAGAAGCAGAGGCCAGGGCTGGGGGCGACCAGAACCCGGGGCAGGAGGGGGCAGCCCGGGCAGGCCCCAGACCTGCTCCTCACCTGCCGGAGCCTCTCAATGTGGGCGCGGCACAGCTCCAGGTCGCTGTCTCCTGGGACCACCACGGTGCCCAACGGCACGGCTGGAGGACAGAGTGGCCGTCAGCAGCCGGCCGCCCCCCACCGCCCTGCCCTCAGGGGACCCGGCGCTCCTCGGCACCCCCAGCCCCGTTCGCCACTCACAGGCCTCTTTGAGCTGCTCCTTGTCATAGTGCAAGGCCTCGTAGTCGTGCATGCTGACCCTGCTCACCTGGATCCGCAGCTGCTCCGGCACCGGCTGCTGGCTGTGGGCGGGGCGACCACACAGCACTCGGGAGGGCTCTGCTGGGCTGCCTGTCCCCGCCAGGCACCGAGCCACGTACCCCACCCAGCTGCCCCGGGGGACTGTGAGCCTCCTTTCCAGATGGGGAAACCAAGGCTGGGGAGGGGCATACTCGCTGTGCAGGGGGGCGGCGCTTCGCCGCTTGGCCTTCTGCACCATGGTGGCCTGGTTGCGCAGGGAGATGCGGATGCATGAGGCTGCGAGCTTGCAGGGCTCACCATCCACCTGCACTGGGATGGCCTTGGACGTGGTGAGCAGCACTTCTCGGCACTGTGTCAGCCGCTCGCCGTGCCCGCCCACCTGCAGTGCTGCCTGTGGGCGCGAGAGGCTCAGGCCAGGGGCCAGGGGGTGGCAGGACCTCAAGCTCCGCTTTTCCCGGGGATGCTCTGGCCAAAGTGAGAGTGACCCCCTGCCCCGGAGAGCAGACGGAGGGTGAGACCCCAGCCAGAGAAGGTGGTGAGGGTCAGCTCTCCTGTCCTGGCCAATGAAGGAAGTTTGGTGACTGCCCCCCTCCCCCATTCCATCTCGGGGCCAGGCTCCAGGGCACTGTGGGAACAGGACCGGGGCAAAGCAGGGCCGGGGCTCTAGACGGGCCCCGTGCTGGCCCACTCACCAGGGATGTCATGGTAAAGCCAATAACCTCGAGGTAGCCATCATCGTGCCGCTGGGGCTCGAAGTCATGGTGCTCCCCAGGGTGGCCCCAGGGCATGGTGCCCGCACAGTACCTGGAGGGGAGGGCACCACAATGGGCTTCAGAGGGCGGGCGTGCAAGACAGAGGCAGCAGGGCCCACACAGAGCCCTTCCCTCCTCACCTGGGGATGTTCAGGAAAACAATGCACTGGGGTTTCAGGTCCTGAATCTTGGGGGTCAGGTCAGTCCCGTCACACTGGAGGCGGGAACGGCGGAGGGTGTAGAGGGTATATGTACCCAGGTGGTCTCCCTTCCGCTGGGCCCGCCCACCCTGCCTGCCAGCATGGCCCACTCACCACCACGCGGATGTGCTTGGCCAAGTCCTTGGAGCTGCCCATCAGGAAGTCGGAGAAGGCTGTCTGTGGGAGACAGAGGGTGTCACCATCTGGTGACAGGTAATTTCCTTCACCGCTGCCATGCAGGGGTCCTTTGGCCTGGTAGACTCAGGTGAGCAGGGGGCACAGGCGGTAGAACAGGCGGGCATGGGAATGGTGGCGCGTAGCTGGCAGACCCCAGACTCACCCCGGCGTAGAACATCTTATTCCGAAAGCGGCTGTTGAATTTCTCTGGGTTGGCCTCTGCGTGGTGACAAGAAATAGGGGACAGTGAGTTGTTCTGAGCCTGCTGGCGCTTCCCAGGCTGGGGTCAAGAGGGAGCGTTGAGAATGAATGCCTTTTCCCGGGAAGGGCAAGATCGGTCCTCTCGGGGACGCCCTCCCGCGTCCCTCCCTCCCCAGCCTCCCCAGGCCTCCTCGGCAGGTCTGCCAACCTCGAGACTCGTGAAACTCCAGGGTGACGTGGGCGTCGAAGCCCAGGCTGAAGTAGTTGTTGAAGACGCCCAGCGGCAGCTGCACAAAGGCCAGGGGCGGCATGAGCATGAGCATGAGCCATGAGCGTGAGCACCGCCGGCTCAGCCCCGCCCCTGCGGGCCTTTCCCACGCCCGGCGGCCGCGGCCCTGCCGCCTGAGCTCCCGGGTGAAGTGCCCCGCGCGCAAGGGCACCCCGTGCCCTGCTGGCCCTCTCTTCCCACAGCCCTGCCCCCTGGCGGGCCGCGTTCTGCAGGAGCCCCACGAGAGCCGGGACTTGGTTTTGCTCACTGCTGAGAACAGACGGTGCCCGGCAGTAGCAGGTTCTCAGTAAATATGTGCTGAGTAGCTGAGTGACAGCTACCTGGTGCGGTGAGTACCATTACTCCCTTGTCCCGTGAAGAGGCCGAGGTCTGGAGACACCAAGAGTCACCCCAGGCCCCAGGATCCCACACACCCCCGGCCCCGCCCTGGCCGACCCACCCGGTCGGTGGCCCCCTCATCTCGCTCCTCAGGCCCCGCCTCGGGGTTGGGCTCAGCACGGAGGTCCCAGCGGTCCAGCTGCACCACGTTGCCCTCCTCTACGTGGGAGAGGATCTTGGACACGGGCTCATCGGTGTAGCCCTGGCGGGAGGCAGGAACTGAGCCCCTCCGGGGTCTGGGCCTTCCTCCCCGCCACCCCGCCCTCCCCAGCTCCCTGCCCTGTGGGCGCTCACCCCACCCCAGTTGAGGGTGCGGGCCAAGTCGTTGCCGGTGCCCAGGGGCAGGATGGCGACGGGCGGCGGTGGTTTTAAGCGCAGCTGGTCCAGGGTGGAGAGGATCCAGCCGACCTGCAGCGGGCAGAGCACGAGAGGCCAGGTCAGAGCGCGAGGCTAGGGCCGGGCCGGGCCGGGCCAGGCCGGGCTGGGAGGGGCAGGAGCGCTCACCGTGCCATCGCCCCCGCAGGCCAGGATCCGCAGGTTGTGCACCCGGCGGTACATCTCCAGCCTGGGGTCAGGAGACGGGAACGGGGTCAGGGTCCGAGCGCTGTACCCCGAGCACCAGGCGAGCCCCCGCCACCAACCCCACGAGAGCCCTGGCAAGTACTTACGCCTCCTTGGGCCCTCCCTGGCTCAGGTCAAAGACTTGCCGGGGATTGAGATACCAGAGGAAGGACTGGATGATCTTGGCACCCTGTGGGAGACCAGGAGCCGACAGGGGCGGGGGAGGAGGCAGTCAGGGGTGGCGGGCTGAGGTGGGGAGATGCGTGGGGAGAAGGGTGGGAACTGTGGGAACAAGGCCTAGGCAGGGGCGAAGGGTGGACACAGAATTGGATTTTCTCAGCGTCCCTGGGAAAGAGGAATGGGGCAGAAGCTGCAACAGAACCTGGGAAGAGCTGCTGTGGGGAGGGGCGTGAGCTTGACCCCATCCCTCCCCCAAGGCGCTCGGTGGAGAGGGCAGGCTGTGGGTACCTGGTTGCCCCCACTCTTGGGGTTCACGAACACCAGCAGGGGCTTCATGAGGGGGGACGGGGTGGGCCTGATGATGAAGGGTCTCCAGCGGCCCTCCTTGGAGACACAGAGAGCCCATAAGGCTCTTTCCTGTCCTGGCAGACCCCACCCCCGTTCTCAGCAGTGCCCCTGGGTGCCCCCTTGAGGATCACACCGGGTCACACCTCACAGTGGGCCTGGCCATAGAGAGGCACCTCGGATCTGACCTCTCACCCTCCTCAGGGCCGCAGAGCCCAAACTGACCCACTGATGGCCGAGCTGGCAGCATCAGCCCAGGGGGCTCAGCATCCCAAAAAACAGGCCCCTCTCTCCTGTTCCCCTCCAGCTGCCCACCTGGTCCCAGGTCTAACCTCAGGCCCTTTCTTGCTAGATTTCCTCTTGAAGGATGCCCTCTTTTTCTTCTTGCTTGCCTTGAGGGTATTCTGCAAGGGAAGCAAGGATGTTGGTGACAAGGTGGGTGGGCCCAGGTGGCTGGCAGACCCTAGGTGTCTGCGGGGGTCAAGGGTGCGGGCAGGACTCACCTGGGGCCTGCGGGCACGGAGGATCCAGGTGGGTGGGATGACCACGGCGGCGTGGACCCCCAGGGAGCACGGCTCCTCGATCTGCTGCAGCATGAAGCAGGACACCTTGCTGTGGTACTAGAGGGGGTTGGTTGGCGTGGCTGAGCCGGACCCAGCTGAGACCTGGGACCCCCAACCCAGCGCAGCCCGGGGGCCAGCCTGCAGGTAGGGCGAGCAGCACTCACTGCTTGCTTGCACCAGGAGCAGCTGATGGCCACGATCTCCTTGCTGTGGAAGGTGAACTTCTGCTGGAAGCCCTAGGGCGCACAGGGTGATGAGGGCAGCCGGGACCCGGCCTGGAGCAGCAGACCCAGCCCCTTTCCGGTGCCAACCTTTCTCCACCCAGGGCAATGGAGCATGTTTTTTAAAAATAAAAGGACTGTAAAATGAGTCCCTAGGGTAGGGAGGGAGGCTGAGCCAGGTGCCCACAACTCTCTTTAGTTAATTGTGTGATCTGCTGCAAAGGGGTCCACAGCTAACTCCTGCCTGATTCCAATCCCTCCTTCCTGACCCAGGCCCGCCAGGCCCGCCAGTGCACTCTGAAAATTCTTTATAGTACCGATCACATTCATTCCTGTTCATTCCACACATGTTCCTCGCGGGCCCGCTGTGTGCCCCACACTGCTGGATACTGAGTGGACGGAGGAAAGAGGGACCTCTCAGAGCCTGAACTTACTGAGGGAGCAGACAAGAAGCAGACAATAAATAGTCAACGAAACCACAACCACTGTGGACTGTGCTCAGGAAGCCCCCTGCAGCCTGTCTGGGAGCCACATCCTCCTCCAGGAGGACAGGGACCCGCTACCCAGCTTGGTGCTTGCCACCCAGCAGGCCCTAAACATGCATCTGCTGAGTTAATGAGTGATGAAGTCTACATGCTTCTCAGAGGGCTCACTCATGACTTCAGAGCAGTCCAGAGACACTGCTCTAGAAGGCTTTCCTCCCTGCTCTCCTGCTCTGCCCAGGGACCTGGCTGTTCTGGAACTGACTGGGCACTGCAGCCAGGCTGAGAGTGAGCCCTGACCACGGTCAGTGATGGACGGGCCACACGAGGCTCAGGGGCCGTAGGGCCTGGGGCCAGTGGGCAGCAGGCTGGCCAACTTCCTTGGGCAGGGCCTCACCTTCCCACAGTGCCGACACTTGCCATCCTGGCGTCGCCTGTGTACCCAGTGGTGCCGCACAAAGGTTGGCTGGCGGAGGAGAGAAGTGTCACTGGAGTAAGTGAGGGGTGGAAGCTTTGAACGTGGCCTGTGCCCCTCAATATATCAACAGTGAGGGGCAGGGGCTGCAGGACGCTTTCTGCAGTCCCGTGTGTGAGAAGGGGCTGAAGACTTCTCCCTGTGGCCCGGAGGCCGGGGCTCAGAGAAGTACAGAGAGAACTGGGAGGCACAAGAGGTGGGCAGTGCCCTACCCCATCTGCAGGCAGGGCCAGCCGGGCCTTCCCCTTTGAGACCCTCAGAGCCTCAGCCCTGTACCTCCCTGGGCCCCAGAGCCACCTAGAAGGAGCTGAGCCCCTGGTGACACTCTGAAGACACTGCAGAGAGGTCCACTCAGGAAACCTGGGGCCCTAACTACCCTGGGCACTTACCTCACGGACGTTCCTGGAGCCTGATTCACGGAAGGATGGCTTACAGCGGAAATTTATCTGTGAAACATGAAATGATCACCAGAACATCAGAACCTCCCTTCGTGGGGTCAGGCATATGGCCACCCCCTTCAGGAAAGTGTCACTCAGAGGCATCCTTGCAAGGTAGGGATAGCCCCCAATCATCCTGGGAGCCCTGAGAACGTGAGACACATCTTCTCAGAAGCCCTCCTACATCCCCGCTCCTCTCCACTAGCCAGAAGGAATCTTTCCTTCCTCTGCCCAGTGTTCTGGGATGAGGGAGACAGCAAGCTCTGTATCCGTCTCCCCCACTAAAACAGCACCAAGGCTTACCCCTCCTTTACTGTTCCTCACCCTCCAGCACTCCCAACTCAGGCACATGCAGGCAACCCAGTCCTTGCTTGCTGACTGGTCCCTGGAGATTGTTAGCTCATTTGTGAAATCCTGGTTTGATTTTCACCTTAGGGGGTGGTGTGATGGGTCTGTAGTGCCTAGGGCTACACTGGTTTCTCTTTTCCTAACTGTCCCTGCTTCAGCCTTAGCAGAACTGTAGGGAACCCTCACACTACGAGTTGGGGGGTAGGGGAGGCAGTCCATGTTAGCCTTGTTCATGCCATTCCTAGTCCTACGGGATTTCTCTTATGATGGTCTGGGTTTCTGCTGCCTGGGGAGCCCTGATGGGCCATGGCAGCCCTCCCACCCTCTGCCTGGACCCACCCGCCCAGCATTCCTTCTACCTCCCTCCCTGGAAGCACGCGACCCAGACGTGCCCCCAGCTGCAGACACACCGTGGACAGTGGTCCTTGGGGAAAGGTCTTTACAGTGGCAGCGTGGAGGGGACAGAGCCAGGCTTCAGGGCCGCACAGGACTGGCCCTGACACAGCCGAGTTGCACAGCTTCGGCAAGGCATGGCCCCTTCTAAGTGTTAGTTTGGGGACTGATAAAATGGTGTCTCGGTCATCATTCATTACTTCATCTGGTTGAGTAATAGTCTACAAGCCCCACTCTGTGCCAGGCTTGTTCTGGGCAGTGGGGTCACAGTAACAAAAAAGGGGGGGAGCCAGGATGCAAATGCAGGCATCTCAGCTCCAGGGTCCTTGGCTCTTCACCACTACGCACACTGGGGTACCCCTGGCAGGTGATGTTTGTGTAACATGAAAATGCGTGTACACATACACACGTGTGTGCACTGGGAGGGCTTTAGCACCCAAAGGGGAGGGGCCGGAGAGCCTGAGCAACCACACTCACCTTCTCTAGCTGTTCAATGCAGGGGGTGTGCACCACAATCTTGCACGCTGCACACTTTCTCCGGGACACTGATTTCTGCTGCAGGAAAGAGAGGGCCCCTGAGGCACCAGGTAACTCCACCCAGGATGCTGCCCCAGGGCAGGCAGAGATCTCCTCGCACCTGCCCCAGCACAGCTGCCCACTGTGTGCACCGGCAAGCCCCAGCCCTGGCATCAGGACACAGCCCCATTCCTCTCACCAACCTCGCGCAGCCCACCGCAGGGGTGCTTAGGTGAGAGCCTTGTTTCCGCCTTCCCCTGGAAGGGCAGCAGCCTGTCAGGCCCACAGGAGTCGGCCTACAGGCTTCTAGACCTGGCTCCACCACCAGGGGGCAGTGTGCTGCACAGAGCTCACTCACCAGCATCTTGGCTACACAGTACTGCTCTCCAACATAGCAGAAGTCCCCGGACACGTTGGTCTCAAACCAGATGTGCTCCCCATACGTCGCTGACTCCTAGACCACAGGATGAGCACGCTTAGTGCACCCCTGCCCTGCCCGACCAACCCTCCCTCTCCCAATACAAACCTGCTCCAGCTGCCACAATCTACTTTGCTCCATCCTGTTTTCCCCACTGTCCCTTGGCTTTAAGGCTTGGCTCAAACGTGGCCATGCCAGGTCTGCCCTGACCCCATAGGCCCACGGGCTCTTCTCGCAGCTGCCCACAGTACCCTCAACCCAACTGCTCCTGTGGCCCTGAGCCCGGCGGGGACTGGTCCTCATTTGCCCCTTGCAGCTCCCGGCCACTCACGCTCCAGTCCACAGTGCTCCGGATCTGCCGCTCAGGCTCACTGCGCGGGGCCCCGGGAGCTGGAGGAGGGGGTGCCAGGTGCTGGAGGCCTGACTTGGTGATGGCTTTCCTACAGAAAAGGAGATAGCTGAGGCTAGCTGAGCACTCGGCGACTCTGCTTCCTTCCCCTCACCTAGGATCTCTGCCCTCACCGTGACCTCAACACCGGGTCAAGACATGGATGGCGATAGGGAGGGCAGAGGATGCCCTAAGGCAGCCCAAGACTCTGGGAGGATCCCCGAGGAGACTGGGCCCTCCTGAGAGTCCTGCTGGCTTCCGAGCACGGCTCAGAGCTCTTCCCGAGCCGGGGGCCCTCAAGCCAGCCCCCAGAGGCCACTCGCCCTGCTGGCTGCAGCTATACCTACGCAAGCAGGGCACTCCAGGTCTGGGGTCCGGCTGACTTGCGCCGCAGGGCTACCTGGCGTCCGCGGGACAGCGGGTACATGCAGGCAGGCATCCTGGGGCCAGCTGCGGTGCCCGAGGCTCTTCGGCCCCCCAGGCTGCGGTGCTGGCCTGAGGACCGCTGCTGGCTGAGGGGCTGGTAGTAACCGTGCAGGCCCCAGAGGGCGCGGTCTTTCACCACGTCAGCGGGCAGCAGGTGGGAGGAGGCTCGGCGCCGGCGCCAGCGGGGAATGGGCAGTACGGGCAGGGCTCCCCGATGCGGGGATGACCCCGGTCTCTTGGTGCCTGGCTGGGTGGCCGCCAACGACGCAACTGTCACATCCTCCTCCTGGACCCCCTCCTCCTCATCCATGCCCAAGAGCCCAGCCAACAGCAGGGGTGCGCCCAGACGCGCGGCCCCAACAGCGGCAGGCTGCAGGGCGGGCACCTCATCCACGGTGAAGCGGGGGTTGCAGGCGGGGGGCGCAGTGCTGGAGCGCCGGCGGCTGGAGCGCGGGGCCCCCACCCCGCAGCCCAGGAGGCAGCCCTGGAGCTGTGCGCTGGAACGGCGCCGCTGGACCAGTGAGGAGGAGGCCTGCCCCGCAGGCGAGCGGCGCCGGGCCTTGCCTGTGGGCAGCCCCACGCCGCCGGGCCGCCTCTGCCCCTCTCCAGGGCCTGGCGCCTTCCGCTGGAAGTGTCTCCTAAAGAAGGTCTCCATGGCAGGGGCAGGCAGGTGGCTGTCGGGTGGAGACCGGGGGCATGAGGAGCTGGGCCAGGCCACGGCGCACCCTGTGCCCGGGAGCCCCGTCACAGCTGCTGCCCTTTGAGCAGAGAAGGAACACTTGGGAGGCATGGGGGGCGGGGCCGTCTGTGGCCTCTGAGCTCCGTAAACGGGGTGCCTGGGGGTGCCAGAGGATCCAGCAGGGAGCCTGCACTCATCACTGTTCCCTGTGCGGCCCCAGGAGTGCTGGGTAGGAGGGGCTGCGAGCTCCCCATCTGGGATCCCCTCTCTAGGCACCATGATCCACCAAGTTCTAGCCTAAAGGACTTCAAGTCCCTTGCCTGAAGCTGATGGAAAAGAAAAGAAAAAGGAAGGTGTAAGCCTGGAGCTGACCTAGACAGACTGAGTGGCTGAGGGCAAGGCTTCTCCTCTCCTTAGGCCTTTGTTTTGCCACCAACACAGGGCAGGTTAGGCTTAGGTGTCCCCTCCTGGAACATGGCACAAATCAAGCCATGGTAAGAAAATGAGGCTCTCTGAAGAGAAATTCAGTCCTGATACGACCCCCTGACTTGCAGTCAGGCTGACAGTGGCACTAGAAATGGAGAGGATCTGACGCCTGCCTTGGGGATTGAAGGCCCTGGGGAACTAAGGCCCCCCCAAAACTGGAGAGGCAGCTGCACAGGGAGAGAAGCCACCAGGGGGACTTTGTGTGGGAAGCCACGAGAGCAGAGAGAGTGCCTCTGGGCTCTGGGTGTGTGTGTCCTCTTGCTCTGAGGGGCCGACAGTAAGAACTTTCCTGGTCTTACCTTTCTGAAGAGGCACAGTACGGACATTCCATGTGTGAAAATGCTGGATGATGTCGGAAAACCCTTCCAGCTCTGCTGCTGAGGAAGCCCATGAACTAACTGCACCTTGACCTGGGGGCCAATGCTCGAAGCCCAAACACTGAGAATTCCAGACACTAAGCTACCCAGAGCTCCTCCTGCAGGAGCCTTGGGGACCACCCTTGCTCAAGCCATCCTCCCTTGGCCTGGTCTGAACACAGGCTCTGCTTTCTTTGCCAGCTCACCTACCCTCTGCCGCCCCTTCCACACAGGCAGCTGGGAGCACCTGTACCCTCACCTCCCCCTAAAAGTGCGGGAGGGGCAGGAAGCCTGGTATGCTTCAGGGGGGCAACACCTCCAGAATTCCCAGGGACACCTGTGTCCTGCCATCAAGTACCCTCCTGGGCCCTGGCAGCCACAAGGAGGTCTGAGTCACGGCCATGGGACACCTGCCTGGGGGTGACAGGAGAGACACTTCTGCTAGCTGAGGGCCCCTGAGAGAGGGTGGGAGCCCTGGACAAAAGGTGGAAGACGATGTGTCTGAGGAATCGGGGCTGGGCTGCATGTCCAGCGCCTACTCCTCCCATCCAACACCTCCACCCTTGATTTGCTACTGCCCTGTGGGTCCGGGCAGGCAGTGTCAGGCAGGGCCCTGGCTGGCCGTGGAGGCGCTGGCGTGGAGGCGCCCATGCCTGGGGAAGCAGTGCTCGGGTCTGCCCAGCTCCGGGTCTCTGCCTCTTACAGGCTGCCAGCCTCTGCAGGTGACAGCGAGAAAGGCGGGAGAGCTCCTGGCTTCCTCCTAAAGTCAATGCCATCACAGTTTACGTTTACTGAGTGCCCACCTGTAACAGGCACGGTTCTAAGCCCTCTGCAAACATGTGTACCATTTTATAAACCACAGCACCCTAGGGACTTCCCAGGGACTTCCCTGGTGGCGCAGTGGTTAAGAATCCGCCTGCCTATGCAGGGGACACGGGTTTGAGCCGTGGTCTGGGAGGATCCCACATGCCGCGGAGCAACTAAGCCCGTGCACCACAGCTACTGAGCCTGAGCTCTATAGCCCACAAGCCACAACTACTGAAGCCTGCGCGACTAGAGGCCGTGCTCAACAAGAGAAGCCACTGCAATAAGAAGCCCACACACCGCAGCGAAGAGAGCAGACCCTGTTCGCCGCGACTAGAGAAAGCCGGGCAACGAAGACCCGACGCAGCCAAAAATAAATAAATAAATAAAATTTAAATAAATAAACACAGCACCCTAAAGAACAGATACTGTATCATGCCCCGTTCCTCATGGGAGACTGCGGAGGTAACTTGCCCAAAGTGCACAACTAGTCTGTGCGGACCCACTGCTGGAACCTGCCTCTACCTGAACCCCAAAGCCCGCACCCCACAGACGTGGCAGAGAGCAGGGTCTTCCCTGCTGGGCCACGAGCTGGGACTAAGGTGGGATGGGGGGAGGGAAGGGAGCCATAATAAGGACAGTAGCCGTCCCATTTACCCATCACCTACTATGCGACGGGCCCTGGGCTAAGTGCGTTCGCTTATCATCTTATTTGATCCTCACTACCACCACCTCCTGAGGCAGGATTGATGGCTCCATTACAGAGATGAGGAAACAGGCTTGACGAGGTGCAGTAACGTGCTCCAAGATCACTTGGCTGGTCAGCGGCAGGACTGGGACCTGAACCCAGGGCTGCCTGACGCAGGGTCTGCTCTGCACCCAGGAATAGGAGCCCAAAGGCCCAGCTGCCCACTGCCCCAGGGTGTCAGCTTTCCCTGCCCGCCTGGTCAGGCCGCCCTGTGACAGCTGCCCAGCCCGGAGGAGATTAGTCAGCCGAACACACCGCCTGATGCGAGTGTCACCCAGAAAACAAAAGGCCACAGTCACTGGGCGGCGGGCGGGCGGGGCG